TCACCACATGGACTAATGACCCAAGATTTTATTCTGCTCTGAGGCAATTTTTACGTTTGCTGTCTCTGCTAGCAGTCTCGGAGCTAACAGGCGTAGGACGGTGGATCTTTGGGAAGTTTAGTGCCTGCAATAAATGTCCTTAGTCTCAGCAGCATAATTCCCTCTGTGATTAGAGCTTCATAATCCTTCACATTATGACAAATGGTGTGTGACAAACTGGAATTGGCTATAAAGTAATGTTCAATTCAGACGTGTAAAATGGAGCATTTTATAATTGTTTCATACAGTACTGATAAAAATGATTGCAGTAAAAGGTACCCATCTGCTGCTTTGCAGTGATTGCTGCTGTTTGTGCTCTTACCTGATGGTACCTTGTGCAAGTCTTGTTCACCTCGTGTTCACTTGTTCCTTAATTTTAGTTTGCAAAGGTAAAGAAAGATAAAGGATTTAAATGTGGTAATGTATGAGAAGAAAAGGTGGGTTTTTTTGGTTTTAAAGTTTAACCTTTAGAATGCATTGATAACCAAAGGAAGATACTGTCCCATGATGATGAAAGGTCATTTTTTTGTATAAGATCTTGGAACAACACAATACTCGTAACTTCATATTCACAAGCAGAAGGAAAAAGACACTCATGGTTTATTTCAGCTCTGAGTTAGTTTGTCAAATGTAAGTAAACAAGTTCTTAAACTGAATTAGCTTAGGAACTGTTCTTTTTGTCTGCAAAGAAATTACTCCAGTCAAAAGCTAGCTTAGCCCTTGCTGCAGAGACTGTTTCTGTGTACTTAGTCACCAGTTCAATGGTTTAAGTTTTCAATAATTTTGGTACCAAATGTCATAACTTTCTAACATTCTAATGACATGGTTATTAAAAAAGAGAGTTCATACCTTAAAACAACCTTTTATAAGCTTTACTTTGAAATTTTTAAAGGCTCTGGTAATGTTCTTTAAGTGCTTTTTAATTGCTCATTTTTGGAGCTTTCTTGAGGTGTCCCATCATTATATTCCTTCTGTCTACATTTGAATAATTTGTTTGACAGCTTCTCTGTGTATAGAATGCAGTGCAGTGGAGTCCCAAGAAGGTCTGCCATTAGGATGCCTAGCAACTAGAGTAATGCCAATAATATTTGCCAATCTTTTTCTTCTAGGAATTAATGTTTCCCACCCACAACACTCCTATGAAGTTTAAAAGCTATCAAAACAGAGTTTGAAAAGGTCCAATTCAATTAACTGCTGTAAATATTGCCAAAATACATCATTTTTCCTTCCAAGACTGCCCAAATTAGTGGCTCAGGTTATGGAGAGGTTTACATCATTATTGAATGAAGTAATACATTTACTGAAATCTGATACAAGTGACTTGAGAGAGGGAAGGGCAGGGAAGAGAGGTAACGAACTCACTTTTCCTCCCTTTCTAGAGGTGGTCTTTTAAACACATGTTTAACTTAGGGACTTGAAATTAAGCAATTCTTTGATCAGACTGCTGGTGTTATCAGTAAAAACGCCTGCCCTGCTGCATTTTCAAACAGCTCAGACTAGTGACAACTTTGATCCAGCTCCTCAGCCAGCACAGCCAGGGAGATTCTGCCGTTCAGATGAAAGCATGCAACGCAAGACAGATAACTTGGATTCAAAGTTCAGTTTCAGCTTAAGTGTTTCAGAAGGAACCCTGCCTCCCCTCCATGCATTTCTACAGATCATGAACTCAACAGAAATAAAGAATATGAGCATGTTTTATTTGTTCTTAGTCTGCGCTCTAGCCTGTGTGCCACACAACCTCACTGCCTTACTCATGTAAAAGCAGCAAGGTATCCTTTTAAACGTTGATCCAAAAGACCTGGCTGTGGTTTGATTTAGGCCTAAATCACAATTGTACACGAGGACGTTACTATAACCTTTTAAAGCGAGCAGAAGCGTATTTAGAGGTGATGGTCTCATCGCCTTGAGCTGACCTAAACTCTCAAAGATGCTGGCTTGCTTGGCATCTTTCCAGGCTGGTTGCTGTGCAGTAGGATTCTGGAGGAGCCAAATAATAGTATCTTTATAGCTATCACATTCCTGTCAGTGCCTGAGGGATTTCAGAATGGAAACAGAAGTGAATGCAAGCTAACTGTTAATGTACAAAATGAGCTGTGCTCGGAGAGTTGTGCCGGGTGAAGAGGGCAGAGAGAAATGTGTGCAGGGAGCGGGCTGAGCAGTGTTAGCTCCTAGCTGGATTTGTAGGATGAATTTACAAAAAGAGTCCTAGTGAAGTATTAAAAGAGTGAACCAGCTTTTGGGAGTCCAAAATCGAAATATTTATGCATGGCTGGATAGGGAAAAATAAAATGCCTACTTTGAATTGTTTAATGAATTTTGCATTTCAGCTGGAAAACTACTCATTACACCCCTAATACTGGTTCTGGGACTGGCACTGGGAGCTGTAGCTGTTGTCATAGGTAAGAGTTACATATGCGAGTGAGTGATTCTGGTTTTGCAGTGACTTTTGGGGTGACATTTCAGTATTTTCATCTCAGAGATGGACACACAGTACAAATTCCATAGACTATTTTTTTTTTCATATAAAGCACATCACTTTTTTTCTAAAACATTTGTCTTTAGAATCTTCTTTTTATTTACTTGCATTTTATGCCTGTTAACTTTGTTTTCCCCAATTATTTGGTTTTCTGAACCAAAGTTTTTAACTACTGTAGTTAAACTAGTAAAAAAAGTCAGTGTAATTTAAACATAGTCCTTGAGGCTGGCTGACTTGGACTCTCCCTTTAATGACCCCAGTGAATCACAATTCTAAGATGTTGGACATGTGCATGACAAGATTTTGGGGGCACTAGGCATGCTCCCCAGACAGAGCCCTCCCGCTTAAAGATGCAACAACAACACAACAAAGCAGCAAATTGGGATGAGTCAATCTCAAAATCTGATTCAGTGCATAGGCAGCCAGATTGCAATCCATTACAAAAAACGGTACTGTGAACTCATTTGATACAGTATTGACGCTCTGGTAATGTGGTTGTACTGATTGTTATTCTAGCAACTCTGCTGTCTTTGTCTGGCTTAGCTGAATTCTCCCACAGAAATTAAATAAGCCGTAATGATAAATATATAATTTTGCTCGTGTAAGTGCATATCCACATTTTACGTTGGCAGTAATATGTCAATTGGGGATCGTGCTGCTTCACACTCTTCACTAAACTACTTATGCATTGAAAATTTGCAGTGTATGTCCAGCCCTGAGGCATTTTGGGATGTGGCACCCTTTTATTTTGATATAATAAAGCCAACATATCCCAGGTTAGTTACATTAATAAGATTGTACGTAACAAGTCAGCATATAACCAAAATATTATTGCAGCTTTTGTAGATTACTTCTGGCCAAATAAGGAATATTGCTGTTAATTTCAGTTTTTAGGCTAAGAATACATATCTTTTTTTCCTGTATCAATATTCTGAGTTGGATTCCCTAAAGATAGATATCTCTCTCTATATATAGATCTGTCTTTAAATATTTATTCTTTTTAGTGGCATTTTTATGTCAAAAATACAGGCAATAAAGACAACTTAAAGCCAGTAAAACTTATTTTGCTTAGCAATCTGGTAGAACCTATGCTGGGAAAAAAACAGTCTTTTGCTTATAATAAAAAATAAGAGGGTTTTACAGTAATACAATAGCAGTAATTGCAGTAATACCCAGTATGCCATTGAAGTCCCATCCTAGGTGTCGCCAGATAAGGTATGATCAGGAAGAGCAGTGTGAGCAATTCCAAAAACATTGATTATTTACAGGAAAGTTTTGGGTTTGAGGTAATTACAGCAGTATTTACTACCAACACAACTGTTAAAGTAATCTCAGTATCATAGCTGAAAACCATTTTACACCATTTACAAGGCTATTGAGAAAAGCAAGGACCCTGGTGACTGATAAGGAAATCTTTCACCATTTCAATCAGCTGGTGGCAAGAGAAAGGGGGAGATGCTTCTCATTTGGTTTGAAAGAGTAGACAAACTATTTTTCACTTGAATGAATCAGATTGATTTATTTTTCTTTTTACAGCTTCCTTTCTCTCAAAAGACTTTTAAGAATAAATAGTTCCCTGCCTAGGCAAGGATAAACATTTGGTATTACTTCACAATAGATGAGAATGTTTGTAAAAATAAATAAATTTTTAAAAAAAGTAAAGCTGAAACTTGAAACTAGTTGAAAACTAGTTTAGTTAAATTAGCCTTGACTTTAGATCTAAGGATTGCCAAAGTGCTTTTAAAAGTTTTAAGTTTGTATCTTACACAAAACAGCATTGTTCAGGAATTAATTTGTCAGAAGTGGGAGTAGGGTTAGCAGGAATTTGTTGTGAAGTAAAACAGAAAGTGTAGCTTCACTTGTTACTGAAGAGACTGTTGCAGGCTAATATTTCTTCTGCTTCTCCAAATGCCTTGTCTAAATTCTCTTGAGATGTGGAAAGCTGCATCTGAATTACTCTGTACATTGAGAGAACACAATGTGTGCATAAAGGATTGATTTTAATTAAGGTTTTCTTCTTATTTTATTCTTTTGGCAGGTTTATTTGTGTTTCCTATCTATTGCCTTTGTAAAAAGCAGAGGAAAAGGTCACGGACAGGTATGCCCTGGTAAGGATGGGCCTTACTCACCTGAACTGAGCTGGTCCCACAAGGGCTATATGCGCTTTGTGCAACAGAGCAATACAGTGCTGGTAACAGCAGCAAAGCCACCGCCCTGGAAGAAGAATGGGGCATCTCCTGCCATCTTCCCTCAGCCGAAAACACTACTGCAGACCGCAAAGCCTCTGTGCTCTGGTGCACTCCGAACAAGATGGGCCCCCCTGACTGCTGCTTTTTAAATGTTTTGGGTTTGGGTTTTTTTGATTTATTACTTTGGAGGGTTTTTTGAGTCTAAGTTTCTGAACTAGACAATCAAAGTCTGTATTGTAGCCACAACTCTACTACCGATTTGGCCTGTGAAGAAAGCATTTAACTGCTAACATGTGCTCCGTTTAACTTCAGTGTTGGCCTTTAAGGGGGAAATGCTTAGAAGTGTTTGGACTCTTACTGTATACTGAGCATACTACTTTTGGTATTAAAAACTACTTCTGTAAATAACTTCCATCACACAGCATTCTGTTCAGCATACCGAAACCCCGTCACATGCCAGAGCACGACAGCTGGTTATCTTCTGAGTCCTGCAGCTACTGGGCAAATGTAGATTGCCACGGCCAAACTGCAGTGCCTCAGAGGGGGAAATACCCTCAGCATTGAAGCTCCGTCATACAAATAGGCTGATCCATTTCACTTTGGTATTTAATTTACAAAAGTCTATTAATATTGACTGGGGGGGTGACAGATTTGTTAGAGGAGTACAGCATTTTGAAACTCTCCCAGTACAGAAAAAATTTGAAGGGTTTAGATACTAGAAAAGGACAGTGGCCTGTTCTGTCCCAAGATATCCCTGAAGTGTGTTTGCAGGGCAGCTGGAAACCTGCTCTTCTGTTCTGACTTGGCATATGATACACATGCCACCCACTAGTTGTGTGAAGATTGACTTGATGAAATTTTATAACCTAAATAGCATGTTTTGTTCGTTTATTTGAAGTAGGCTACATAAATCTTAGAGCATCCACTGATGTCTCATGAGGAAAATATGTGAATTTTGGGTAAGAGGAGGGGCCATAAATTCATAGGAGACCATTTCATTCTTACTCTCTGCTTACAGTGTTTCTCTTCGTGGCACATTACAGGTCTGAAGAGAATAGCTATGCTTGCTCTTTTTTCCTGACTTCAGAGTACCACTGTTTGCTACCAGACCTCGTTCTCAGCACATCGTCACAAGAGCAATGTCATTCAGCGTTAGGAATCAGCTACTGAGGAATTTTTTCTCTTTTAGTTCTTATCCAAATTTATTGTACAAATATAACTTAAAAGAAAAAAATTAGAATAAAACAAATTTGTGTAAGCAGAACACTGAAACAATAAAGAAAGGAAATGAATAAGAGAAATACCTACTTTATAGTTTAAAAATACAAGCTGATCTTAAAGAAGATTGGATTTGTACTGTGAAGGTACTCTTTGTGTGTATGTGTTTGAAGATACATATATATATATATATATGTATGTATGTATGTTTGTATATATATGGGGAGAGGGGAAGCAGGGAGATGGCAAATGTCCTAAAGAGTCTACAGACTTCAAAATTTAGGCCCACAAATAGCACATCATTTGAGAGGATGTGCTTTGCACCACTTTCTTCAAAAATTGTTATTAAATCTGAATCTAGTTGTAACTTTTAAGCAAATAGTAGTCTGCCCAACATAATACTGTTACGAGATACTCTTTTGAATTCGAAGCCTCAGTGGAAGAAATTGATGAATTTTGTTTACCTGCACAAATATCAGCTTACCATAGCTGACTAGTATGCTTGTTTTCTGACAGCTTCTGGTTTTGTTTTCTTGGGTTGTTTTTTTTCTTGTTGAAACAGTGTGTTACAAGCACACCATAGTAGTCAACAAGTTCTTAATGTTTCAATTTGAATTTAAGGGCATGTTGACCTTACTGCCCCAAGAGTAGAAATAGTACCTTTCTAAAATTTGCAAATTAAGCCGGGAAGCAATGACATTTAGAAGTAAAGTTCAAAGCCTATTGTCGATGCAAATCCACCTGTTAATTAGGTTTGTTCTTCTGTGACACATCAGTTTTCTATTTGTGTTCTGTCTGAGGTTGGAAGCTGCCTTAAAATGGGTCTTGTTTTTGAGTGTGTTTTCTGAGGCTGTACATATTAGTTGTCTTTGGCTTACTCAGGGATTTTTATTCCTTTCTTTAAATGTCAAATAATGAAGATATTTTTGTATTATTTAGAAAAACCTTCAGACCTCAGAGAGCGAGATAGACATACATAAATAGATTTGGGTTTGCAATGCAGTCTGTAATATTGTGTCAAACTATTCCACTTGATAATATTTTAACACTTGAGATTATCTGTAATTAACTATATAGTGGATTAATTTCCTTTCCTGGTTCTTTATAAATATGTGAGAGATTCTTACAGTCTTTGTAGCTGTTTTCACTCTGCCATGTTTGCCACTTTCAGCTTCTGATGGGAGTTCAGTAAGACCTGAAATTAGGGTGCTAGAATAAGGAGCATAAAAGGGAAGATAATAGATCTGCACTTATTTATATTCAGAAAGCATGTCGTCGTGGGTGGAGGAAAGGAACACACAACTCCTACATTATCATTTCATCTAGGCCATTTTGATTTCATCGGAACAGATTAAATCAAAGGGAAATGGCTCTTCATTTTCTACACATAGCAAAATGAGGCATCTTTGACCTTGTAAAGATGAGTCTAATCTTGCTTTCCCTGTAGGAAAAAAAAAAAAAACAACACAGGAATGACAATAATATTTGCTTTTGCTTTTCTGTAGAACAGGAAAAAATTTTAAGAGCCAGGCAGAGTAGAGATATGGAAGTCTTTTTCCATCCATATAAAAATTTTCCCACTAGGATAGTACATAAATATAACTTTTAATCAATATTACATAACTAACTGAAATATGAGAAGTAGTTTAGTACAAAACTTCATTCAATAAAATGTTAGCTTTTAAGCAACTATTCTCATATCACAGGAAATCTTACATACATCAAAGTCATGTCATTTGTTTTACAAGCATTAATTTATCAATTTGAAAGAAATGGAATGAACTTTGTTGTACGGGAATTCATGGATGTTGTTCTTTTATTATGTAAACGTGTTTTGGTTTTTGTAACTGTAAAGAAACCATCAGACTGTTCTAACCCATCTTTATTAGCAGAAAACTTCATCAGGCAGCTGAATTAACCTGCTAAGGCAGATTTCACGCTACTGTATGCTGATCATCAGGATTGCTTTCACCTCATTTAATATTTAAGATTATTTATCCTTTTGTGAAGTTGTTGTTCACTGATATCTGAATTCAGACTAGGAAATACTTAAATCCGTTCTACACTAGCCTTCTATTGGAAGCTTGCCTGGAAATCGGTTTGCAGTCAGTCCCAGCAGCGCTGCGCTCTGTGTGCCCAGTCCTGCTCCTGCTGGGGAGGGCTGGCTGGGCACGCCAGTCCGGAGAGGGATGCTTTCTCCACTCGAGTATTTAGTTGTATTTCATTCAAATTTCAGTGCTGCTCAACCATGTCAGTGGCAGGGTGTTTCTGACTGCTGCAGCATGGCAGAGCATCGTTAGGTGTGTTTGCAGAGCTTATCCAGGAGCTTTGCCCGGAAAATAATTGTGCTTTTCCTTCTGTCCGCCTATTAGGCAGTGAGAGTAAGAAGCTGAATAAGAAGGAATACAAGCAAGAGGCAGAAGTGCAGTTCTGAGTAGCCTCATGCTGTAGCTGACCCATCAGTTTTAGTTCCGTACAAAAAGGTCTGTTAGTCTTCAGTTACCCCCACCTCTACGATAAACAGCGTATTCCTGTCTTTCAAGTGTCATTAAAATACAGTGCACTTTGAGTGATCTGTTATCTTCTTTCGGGGCAGTGCAAATGTGTAAGTAAGGGAGGATTTTCTCCTTGGTTTTGATGTTACTAATGCTGACTTCGTAACTCTTGGTTTTGTAATTTACATCCATTTATTGGTTCTGAAAGTTTGATCAACGTGAAGTTTTACTTTATTAAAAATACTAATTTGTAGGGACTATTGCCAATTTAACTAGAAGGGGTTTTGGTTCACCATCAGGTATTGCTTTTAGCCAAGGGCCTTTCTGCTCTTCTGAAGACTGCCATAGCTTGTGTGATGTTAAATGGTATGTGGGTAGGGCAGTAGTTCTGTCAGAGTATAAATTCTCCAGTGATTGAATGGTTTCTCTTGCCAGTTAGATCTGAGAAACTGTTTAATATTCAATGGCCACATAGTTTGCCATGCAGACTCATGAGTTTTTTAAAATTTAGCTGTGTTTTTTTGTTTATTGAGCAAAGCTTGTATCGTTCGTAATTCTTGGTATGATAATTGTGGAAGTCCAAGTGGTGGATAAGAACCATGGATTACTGTTAATTTTATAATCTGTATTAGGTCTCTGATTGTGCTGATGGAAAGAATCCTACCTGAAGAATTAGAGAGATAATTGCTTAGTTTCTTTTAATTTTGCAGCCTTACAGTTGCAGTGGATCAGCTCCATTCCTGACATCAGTCATAGCCCCATTAAACCAGAGATGTTGTACCCATTTTGATGCCAGTATGGAAATTGGTCACAGATACTTCAACAAAAATATCTGGAAATGTGTTGATAGCCGCTGTGCAGCAACTTGACAATCTGGTTCACTTCTGAAGAAGTGCAAACTACTATGGAGCTGGTCCTCTCACCCGTAGAGTGATGCTAGTGTTGTTCAGTAAGTGCAGGAGAGGGCAGGGAGTAGGGAAGAATTTCCAAACAACGTTGTTCTTGAAGCAAACTGTCAGAGCAAGGAATACTAGCTTTTAGTATAATAGAGACCTTCTTAATGCTTTGAGTCACTAATAAAGTTAGAAACAACATCCATAGATAGTGTTAAATAACAAATCTTAAAAGTCTGCTTTCTTCAGTGTAACAGATGTTAGCACAGTGTAAGAATCGTAAATACAGCTGTTCAGTATTTTTTGGATTTGGCACATAAACCTGAAAAAGAGGGCACACAGCATTTAAAAAGTTATGTTGTTGATATGTTTTGTGGTTTGTCTTGCTACTGTTATGTGAAAAACCAGCTGAGCCTTGATGCAACTGCAAGACTAGCAGTGGGGTTTTTTTCCACTTAAGTGCTGCTCAACCGGTAACACAATACCCCCAAACTTCTTTCTTAGTAAAACTAACAAGTGCAGCTTGTTGCAGTTGCACAGGCCTGTAGCTTCCTGGCTGATTCTTCCCTATCTTTCTGCACACAAGGGCTCAGGATCTATACGTTCTCCCTTCAGTAAGGAACAGAGTGCTTATATTAGGCGATTAATCATTGATGCTCCACTTAGCCTGCCCGTGAAATACCAGAAGGTAGGGAAATGAAAACTGATCTTAGAGTGCGTACCC